GCCGTCGCACGGTATGCGGTAAATGACGTTACTTATTTGTTCTACGGGAAGGGGGTCCTTTACTCGACATAAGTTTGCGCGCAGTAAGGATGCGGGCTTGTGGGCGACGGAGATACCAAAATGACTTAGTTGCCGAGAGATAGTTTCAGATACTTCATTCATGTAGGGTAGAGAATAAAATTTCCGTGACACTATATCTTCATTGCATAATCTGTGTTTTGAGCCCGCGACCGCTTTCTTAGACGTTCAACTTCCTACTTATTGAGTTACGGGCTTTTTGTCTTGACTTCTAACCCAATAAAACACGGGTTCAAGCCTCGGGGATTGCAGACACAGGGTTCGATATGGCCAGCGGACGATGGCTAATAAGCCAGAAATGGTCCTTTCAGCCTCACTTACCTTTTTCGGCCATTTCTTTCAGTGATTGCGAATACAAGTAGACAGTACGCGATCCCCCGATATATTTTTTGAAAAAAAGTGTAAGCACAAGTGTGGGATGGGCTATGTTTGATAAAAAATAAGTATTTTTGTTTCAGAAAATTGCATGACTTGGGAATGGACGTCGGGCATCCCGAAGAGACATCGAATGCTACGCTATATCGGGAAAGTATGCAATATAAAAGCATTCGCTAATTCGACGTACCACGGCATCTGGCGATTCAGTTTGATCGTGTTCAGGCTGGATGTGTGCTTGATCCGAATGCCGTAGTAGTGGTACTTTGAATTGCCCCTTAAAAGCATGAAATGGACAGAGGGAATTGAGAAACCACAGGCATTAAAAAGGAAAAAGATGCCCTAGTGACAAAGGCATAACTCTGGGCTGTTGCAATGTGCATTCTTCTGATTCGTTGCGCCATCCATTGCTGTTGATCAGCAGACGAGCTGAACTGTTTCGGACCTAACTAGCTACGACTAACAAGAATAGTAAAGAAGATTGAAGCGGAGTTCCAATGTTCTCCAAAAACATAACTAGTCTGGAAGGGTATGTTTTCGTTATATGATCTCTCGTGAAGAACAGAAGGGTCGCAGTTAGCTAAATTGTTCTTACGTAGAGTTAGGACTATCTTTTTGCCAACGAATGGGGATAGGCACTACTACAAACGACGGCTGTGCACGTGAAAGCCAGAAAGTTGGTGAGGCAAATATCTTGGCATTCGGCAAACGCGGACATGAATAGCAAAAATCCTAATTCTACGACTTTCCATGACATGATGTAAGATCAGAAGGGCTGAGATGCTGGATCAGAAGTATTAAAAACCCCGTGCTTTTACCAGACGCATGTTATGGAGGGCCCAAAAGCAGGATTTATGTTGCAGGAAGGAGTGTCAACAAAGAGAACGGAGACGAGGGTGAGTAATTCTGGCTTAGTATCTATCTTCAAATGGTTGTATCCACACTTTGGTTTGGATAAAGTGTAATTAGAACTCGGACTCTAATCATTTAGTATCAGTTTCAATGCTCTAACATTAAGCTACCGGTCTATTGCTATGCCGGTTGCTGTCGGGGGTAGAAAGTGCGACTAGAAAGTCGTTCACCGATCACGGCACGCTCAATGACCGGAGTATCCGGGTTAGGTTGGGGTAGTCGATGACAGTTAGTAAGTCTGACCGCTATGCA